AACTCGATACGGTCACTACGAATTCGTCGTAATGCCCTTCGGTCTAACAAATGCCCCAGCTGCATTTATGGGCCTCATGAATCGAATATGCCGCCCATTCCTTGACAAATTCGTCATCGTTTTGATCGACGATATTCTCGAAGTGAAGAAGATCATAGCCAACACCTTCGACAAATTTTAGAAACCCTACGGGCTGAAAAGTTGTATGCGAAACTCTCCAAGTGCGAGTTCTGGCTCCGCAGTGTAAACTTCCTGGGCCATGTAGTCAGTCAGGAAGGAATACATGTGGACCCCTCCAAAATCAAAGCAATCAAAAAGCTGGGCAGCTCCAGCAACGCCAACATAAATTCGTCAATTCTTAGGTCTCGCAGGCTACTACCGAAGATTCATTCAGAACTTTTCCAAGATAGCCAAACCCCTCACCACGTTAACCCAAAAAGGCGTACCCTTCAATTGGACCGAAAAGCAAGAGCATGCCTTCCAAACCTTGAAGCAAGCCCTTTGTAGTGCTCCAGTGCTATCCTTACCGGAGGGAACCGAAGACTTCATAGTTTACTGTGATGCTTCAAATTAGGGTTTAGGTTGTGTCCTCATGCAACGAGAGAAAGTAATTGCTTACGCATCTAGACAACTGAAAACGCATGAAGTAAATTACACCACACATGATCTAGAACTGGGGGCGGTGGTCTTCGCCTTAAAATTTTGGAGGCACTAACTATATGGTACCAAGTGCACCATCTTTACAGACCACAATAGCCTCCAGCACATTCTAAATCAAAAGGAGCTAAACATGAGGCAGCGAAGATGGGTTGAGCTGTTAAACGATTACGAATGTGAGATCAAATATCATCCCGACAAGGCTAACATGGTAGCCGATGCCCTGAGCAGAAAGGAGAATGAAAATCGTCGTGTGAAGACTCTGTCGATCACCATCCAATCTCATCTAGCTTCACAGATCAAGGAAGCTCAATTGGACGCATTGAAGCCAGAGAATGTCGCTAGTGAATCGATACGAGGAATGGAGAAGGAGCTTGAAGTTAACAACGATGGAACCCACTACTTCATGAATAGAATCTGGGTTTCCAAAATTGGGGGATTCAGAGAGATAGTCATGCATGAAGCCCACAAGACGCGATATTCTATTCATCCGGGGTCAGATAGAATGTATTTGGATATCAAGCAGCAATATTGGTGGCCTAATATGAAGGTAGAGATATCTACTTTCGTGGGCAAGTGCCTTACTTGCGCCAAGGTGAAAGTAGAATATCAAAAGCCCTCAGGACTATTGCAACAACCAGTGATACCCGAGTGGAAATGGGAAAGGATTACTATGGACTTCGTGACCAAATTGCCAAAGACAGCGGACGGATTGGATACTATCTGGGTAATCGTCGATAGATTGACAAAATCCGCGCATTTCCTGCCTATAAAAGAATCATACAAGATGGAAAAGCTGACCCGAATCTACATCAAGGAGGTCGTGAAACTCCATGGAGTGCCAGTATCTATTATCTCGGATCGAGATAGCAGATTTACTTCAAGATTCTGGCAATCTCTTCAGAAGGCAATGGGAACACAGCCAGATATGAGCATCGCCTACCACCCGCAGACGGATGGTCAGAGTGAGCATACCATCCAGACACTCGAGGATATGCTCCGAGCTTGCGTGATTGACTTCGACAAATCATGGGATGGCCACTTGCCTCTGATCGAATTCTCTTATAATAACAGTTACGATACGAGCATCAAGGTTGATCCCTTCGAGGCTCTCTATGGTCGTAAATGTAGATCGCCCCTATGCTGGGCCGAGGTGGGTGACACTCAACTAGCAAAAGGGCAATCGCCAACCAGTTCTCTTACAGGACCCAAAATCATTCGTGAAACAACCGAGAAGATAGTCCAAATCAAAGCTCGACTTCAAGCATCACGAGACCGACAAAAGAGCTATGCTGACAAGCGGCGAAAGCCACTAGAGTTTCAAGTCGGGGATCGCGTGCTATTAAAGGTCTCTCCTTGGAAGGGAATGATTCGATTTGGGAAAAGAGGATTATTGAACCCGCGGTACATTGGACCGTTCGAGATTCTTGCCCGAATTAGTCCAGTGGCTTACAAGCTGCAGCTACCTGTCGAGCTCAGCAACGTACACCCAGTGTTCCACGTCTCAAATATGAAAAAGTGTCTATCAGATGAAACCTTGGTCGTCCCTTTGGAAGAGTTTGAGCTAAACGAGATTATTGGGCCAAACTTTTGGGCCTCACGACCTTTGGGCCCAATTTGCGAAAAAATGAGGTTTTAAGGTTTAAAAATGTTATTTTGGCAAAAGTTTGAGTCATTAATGTAAATAAACCAAATTTAGAGGTGAAAATATCATTTATTTTCAAATTGGACCAAAAATGTAAAGTTTTCCAAAACTGGGCCAAAAATGTAAACTTTTACCAAAAAGGGGCTGAAAATGTAATTTCTGCGAAACAGGGTTTTAAATGTGAAAATATAACATTTTGGGTCAAAACTATAAATTTACCGACATTTGGGACAAAATTGCAAACTTTTATAAATTATGGACTAAAGTGTCATTTTTACAAAACTTTGGGCCTTAATTAAAGATTTGAGTATTATTAGCCAAAAATGTCATTTTTACAAAATGAAAGCCTTTTATCATCAATCTATTAAGCCTCGAACTAAAACAAACAACCGAATCAAAAGAACGAACGAATTACGTCAAAAACTATTTATTGGGCCCAATATTCACATTTCTTGGCCATTGGACCCTAAGGGCCGAATTAAGTGTGTATTGAGCCCAATGTTTTCCATTACATGTTTATTGGGTCTTGTGTCCCACTTACATGTTAATTTGGGCCTAAGTTATGGATTACATGTTTATTGGGCTTTTGTGGCCCATTTACATGGCCTAAATTACCCTTTTACATGTGATTGGGCCTTTGTGGCCAAATTTCATACTAATAGGGCTTGGAAATGGAAATTTCATGTGTTAGTAAGCCGTAGCGATACCCTTATGTAATCATTAAAATCCGTAAACTTATTACCAAAAACATCCCACAAATACGTAAACATTGAACATAATACAAAGAGATGTTAAGAATCTAGTGAGACTTGTCGGTTGGCACCACTGAGTGTACAATCGTAACCTGTAGTTATAATCAGAGTTTCCTTGTAGGAAAGCAGGAGTTTGTGTATTGATCTATACGGGGTGACCCCCCACGCATTAGCTGTTCGCTACAGCTAGATTAGGCCAGTCTAGGGCGACAACATCCTTAGCAAGACCGGCATTTGGAAAAATACCAAGACGTGCGACCTAGTCATTATCATGCATGGTTATAACGGCTCATATAGGGATTCAATACCAAAAGATAACCATTTGAAGATAAACTCTTTAATTGTGTTAATGCAAACGACTTATTTAACGATACAAGAATTCAGACGTTATTATAAAACAGAAAATATCGGATTTTCTGGGGAAATTATTCATATACAATTATCATTTATTCAAAATACAACGAATCTAAACTACACTCTTACAAGTTTTATCTATTAAATTCACACATGCATTTATACTCGATTTTCACATCATTTTCAAAATATTTTACAGAAAATATCGGATTTTCTGGGTTTTTACAAAAGATACAAAGACTTTTACTCAAATATACTTATGAACTCACCAACATTATATATGTTGACCGTTTTCAAAATAACTTGTATTCTCAGGTAATCGTTAAGCTGGAAGATATGCAAGTGTGTATGGTTTTGTTTATGTAACATCACTTATCGTACTTTGAACAATTAGAACTTATGTATTTTAACAATATACTTGATGTGAACAATGTTGGTTGTATTATGTAATGTTGGTGATGAATGTGTTATGTTTCATGTATATTCATTGTAATGATTATTCAATTGATAGTCACACCAGCCCCCGGACGTTTCCGCCGTCTGGTTCGGGGGTGTGACAGCCCTCCCTATCATGGTTCAGCGAATCACGCACCTCGGGGATCAGACCAGGGTGTCGGCAAACTGGATCTTGGAGCTGGGGGCTGCTGCGGAAGTCACTGACGCACTCGACGAATGGAGAGGGACTACCCCGGACATGTCATATCGTTGACCGCCTCCATGAGGACCTCACCACCGCTAGAGCGAAACGAGGGAGTACCAGGAGAGGCACTCGACCCTCGAGGAGAGGGTGATTGCAGCTGAGCGTCGGATAGCGGAGATGTAGGCCTCCATAACTTCATCCTGTGGCCCACAGGAGACCACCCGCCGTGAATAGGGCTTATACTACTCACGTTTTGTGATCGATTATATTTACGAGTAAGCGTTGATGCTACTCTTTATTTTAGACCTTCTTAAAGGTCAATTTTCACAAACTATGTACTAGTACTATATTAACAATGAAATGAGCATGTATTTTATTTCATTGGGTGTTGCTATCTGTTATGCAATTTTTTACTTAGTATAGTAAATTTCATTTATGAATTACTTGCAAATTTCAGTAACAACAAAGCGTTCCTTTACGGTAATGCCCGATTCATAACTCTTATCAAAGACTTATCGTCATTCCACCTTTAAACTTTATGGCATAAAAATGCCACCACGGAAATCTAACAGGCGCTTCAACAATACATCAGCGCCACCACCTCCACAGATGGACTCTGCCGTGTTCCAAGCTGCTGTAACAGCCGCTGTGGCCGAAATCAGCAGTAACGACAACGGAAGCGGAAATGGGACTAATAGTCCCAATCAAGGCGAAAACCAAGGGCACCAGCGAATGTGATCCTACAAATAATTCATGAACTGCAAGCCCATGACCTATCATGGCGATGGTGGGGTCGTTACTTTGACAAGATGGTTTGAGAAAACCGATTCCATCTTCGAAATTTGTGCATGCCCGGACGAATTCAAAGTTAAATATGCAGCGTGTACATTCGCGGATGAATTTAAAATGTTTCTACTTTCATTAAGTAAAAACTGGCTAAACTTTAAAACAAATGATACAACAAGAGATCCCAAATGCCTTCTTATTGGTAAGCCTCTTATATTGCAATTTGAAACATTCTTATGTTCACTTTTAGATGTTAATGATACAGATAATCAATATGTCTACTACACGGGTATCTAACCTAGTATCTTAATGTGTCACTAAGTTTGCAGCATACCATAAAACTTGAGAATTGGATGCCCTAGTAAGCTCAATTTGAATTTCACAGATTCAATTACAACACAAACACCGAAATACATGTGAAAATCAAAGTTAAATTGAGAAACAAGTAAAGAATTACCTTAAGAGCAGACTCCCAACGCAAAGCAGTGATACGTTCGTGAAGCACTTCGAGTACAGTTCCGGAAAACAGCCTCGTGGATCCTTTTTTCTTCTCAATCACTGCCTTCGTAGCCTCTCTTCTTAATATTACCGATATGGCCTTTTGCGACGCGATTTTCTTATTCACTTGCTCTTTCACTTCTCAAAATATCATAATCCTATATGTGCGTGTGTGGTTTGTATGTTAGGTACCAACCACATTCCATACTCAAAATATTGAAAACTAATGAATAGCTTTGTAACCTATTAAACATAAACAACCAAACTTATGGTTCTTAATTTATAATAATACAATTTTATCATAAAAATCTAACATGTAAGTCTTTCAAATAAAGCATATAGTACCCCTTTTGTATTCTACATATTTAAATGAAAAATATAATGTTTTGGGTTGTGTTGTGGAAAATGAAGTTTATATAGACTTTTTAACATTAAACATATGTATTTTGATTCAACTGATTCCTTATATGCGGTTGTTATACATTAAACATATGTGAATGCTACATATTATGGTTAATGTCATAGTTGGAAAATTACAACCATGAAGAATTGGGCATATATAACTAATATATATTAAGCATTGAATCGTAAGGCATGAAATGATATTTTTAATACAGAAGAAATGCATAAAATATATGTGATTTAATAGTTTTCATTGATTAATTCATTCACTCGTTTAATAGTTTCCATAAATTGATTTATGGGCATATAGCAAGAAAATAATACATTTCTAAATTTGTATACTTCTTGCATACGTGCTGCAATAGTTATGTTGAAAATAGGTATCCAAACTTGACTAATTATGATTGTATGTGGTACAAACTATATGTTTATAAGATGTTAGGTACCCATTTCTCAAAACTAAGTAGTTTTGAATAGTGATTTAATTTTCTAAAATAAAAACAATTTACTAAAATAAAATTCCTATGTTTTTCCTTATTCGCAGATAACATATGACTCGATTTTGTCCTTGATTTTCGAATTATTCCATGTTCATCATTCTGTAAGAAAAATCGTCCACACCAAAAAACGAATTCATAGCAATTGCAATTCTCGGAAACAAGAATCAGACGACACCAAATCAATTAACGAGTACAGTGGGGATTGAATTTCTGAGAAAAATAAAACAATTTTCGTGTTCACTCTTAACTCCAGTTCAATCGACATGTATTGTCATTCGATCATAGAAACGATTTCAAAAAATTCTTAATTCAAAGAAACTTTTAATTCATAGGAAAAACAAATTTTGTATTATACAATATATTACATCTTGTTAATCGTTCCCTTTCTTTTACAATTAACAGATTTTGTATTTTTATATTTTCATGGGCCGATATCAATGGGCCTGTCGATATATCAGACACTTTTCTGTTTCATTTGCACTCAGTTAACATCAGGTGAAAGGGAAGCTGATGCTGCTAAAAGAAATGTTGATGTTCATGAAATTCATAAAAGAACTCATTTTAGCTCATTTTCAAAAAATACTCTTCCCAAGAAGATAGACAACCATGAGTATACAGCTTACAATTATTGGTTTATGTAAAAAATTTTATTTTTCTATTTTTCTTACAAATAACTTTCGTTTGTATATATATATATATATATATATATATATATATATATATATATATATATATATATTTCCAGTCGAATTATCTAGTTGGGTGATCAAGTAAAACACGTGACTTAATTTCCAAAAACCGCTGGCCTAAATTGTCAGAGTATGATCAAGTAAGTTGGTGTTATATTTATAAAAACTAGCTTAAAATTAATTTAGAAATTTTAAATTATTTCAATGACATGTTAATTGCAGCTAATTAAGGAGCTAAGAAAAGGTCGTGCATTTGATGGATGGTCGGAGGGTATTTTGGACTTTGCACCAACTTACAAATACGAGCAAAATTCAGAGAGATATTATGGGGAGGATCCGAAAGTTGGGATGAGAACTCCGGCATGGTGTGACAGAATCCTTTCATATGGGAAAGGAATCAGGCAGATGAGTTACAGAAGAACTGAATTTATGCTCTCTGATCATAGGCCTGTGTTTGCATGTTATATGATAGAGGTGGAAGTTTTCTCTCCAAGGAGATTACAAAAAGCGCTTACTTTCACTGATGCCGAGATTGAGAATGATGGAATTGTGGCCGGAATGGGAATTGATCGTGGAATCAACCACTTAAGATTAAAAGAAGTTAGTCATCTAAGGGCATGTTTGGTTCGTGGATTCTGAAGGAATCGGAATTGGAATTCGTGATTCCATTCCATGGATGGAATTCAATTCCGACAGAATCCTTCAAATTCCATGTTTGATGTTGTTGGAGGAATTCAATTTCACAATGTTATTTAACAAACACATCATACAACCAACTAGGAAATCTGGAAATTTAACGATTGACATTTCATTAAAAAATCTCGATAGTTAGTTTTACACTCAAAATTCATTAAAACAATAAAACCTATATCAATATACAATGGTGTTTGTACATCTGTGCTTTGTTTTTCACCACCTGCATTGGGGTTTGGGTAACATGGTAGTCCCTAATCAAAGCTTCTACTGGGACTTATAGTGGGAATCCATGGATAGGTAAATATGAAGATAACTAAGCTGCATCTTTCAATATGCGAATGCTTTATGAAGTGTGAGGGCAAATCAGTCTTTTTTGATTCGAGGGAGCAATCAAGAAACACCATGTGGCATCTTTTAAAGCCTGAAAATCAAATATTGAAACAGATTCAATATTATGGCATAACAAGTTGACCAAAAACAACAAGAAACCATTGATGGTATAGATTTGACGAAGAGTCAACTAATCACCTGGACAACAACACTACCTTCTGAACCTCCCTCTTCTTTAATGATACTGAAAATCTTCTCAAAAGCACCCTCAAAGACCAAGATTTTTTGGATTTCCTAGTATAGCAATCAAAGGACAATAGGCAGAAGACAGAAAGTAATGTAACTTTATAGTTAAATAAAAAATTTGGCACTAAATAGGGGAAAAAGATTACCTCTACTTCACGTGTCAAGTAGGTGAGAACTAACAAGGTCTAATTACATATGACCTACAAGGCAATGATCATAGTGTTTAAGGAAAAAGAATTATTAAACATCATACAAATTAAAGATTTCAACAGGTAACCAGTTCATACCTCACGGAGAATTGTAAGAATAGACCTCAGTATATGAAATAAAATTTAAAAAGAACAAAGAAAAAGTGTGTATGACACATACCTAATGGGGGAATTTGTTAAAAGGGCAGTCAAAAGTTGAAGCGTATAATATCTTATATAAAAGTCATCCTCTCCCTGTAAAGACACCTGATTACCAATAACAAACCACAGAACAAAAAAAAAAGAATCAAGAATTCATTTCCTGAGGTAAAAAGGATCAAGATTAGAAGCCTTACAAGCAAGCTTAAAAGAAGAGAAATGATTTGTCCATCTCTTGATAAGACTATGTGTTCCTAGACAGGACACTTGCTCACTTGCAGTTTATATATGTTATCGACTAATTCTTAGATGCATATATACAATAGAAATGCACCAACCAGAAACAATGTTGCAAATGAAAAACCATTTGAGATTCACATAAAAAAATGAAAAAAATAGTGTTATTATAGGAGATGACATTTTGTCGAACACCTGGTGGGCTTCTTTTAATATAGTTGCAAATGAAAAACCATTTGAGATTCACAAATCTTTAACATTTTGTCGAACACATACTCAAACTGAATCAAAAATGAATTTTGACTCCAAGTGAATTACTCTCGATTCTTCAAAGATCAAACTTCCAACAATAAGATATATAAAAACTTACGAGTTCTAGTTTTCTGAATTCGAGCTTTAGATTAAATCAGAAAAAGTGGAAGAAAAAATTGGGAGAAGAAATCAACTAACAGTTGGTTGTCTTGAGAAAAGGAAGTCATTTGAAATATGACAAATGGAAATCGTTCTCTCCCTCGGTCTTTAGGGTGTAAGCCATGTGCCAGAACCAATTGAAATAAACCCACTTTGCGTGATCAAAAACCTCTGATGTAAATAAGATGAATCTCAATGATTCAATAAGTTGGGAAGAATCGAAGGAGTCACAGCTTTTTCCCATCTTCGTAATAGGAGTGGAAGAGAGTATAGCATGATCGATTCCGTTTTTGACTTCTCTCAGTTGATATGCGATAGCCCGAGGAAGAAAGTAAGCTCATCTAACTTTGAAACGACGTCGGATAGTTCTTTTGGTACGTAACCTTATGTACCTTATGGTATATTCACTTTTCATATATATATATATATATATATATATATATATATATATATATATATTATATATATATATATATATATATATTAAATTGTCTCGTACCTTTTATGCTTTTAAATACTGCTACCAATTACAATTATGACATGTGTCACCATTCCATATTACTTAACTATCTCATTAAGAGTATATTAGGAATATATCAAATAAAATTAAATTGAATGGTGAAATGATGACACGTGTCATAATGTTAATGTAGGAATATTTGTAGACATAAAAGGTAGGAGACAATTAAATTTCTCTCTCTCTCTCTCTCTCTCTCTCTATATATATATATATATATATATATATATATATATATATATATATATATATATATATATATATACTACTTTATAACACATATATAACGTGGGTCTACTAAATTTTAAGTTCAAAGTCTTAAAAACAAGGAGATTAATTTTAATCCATTAGATCTAATTTAATGGTGTAGATGATTATATCATATGGTGATCTGTATGACTAAACATCAGCCAATCAAATACAAAGATTACATGTATCACCTTTTAAGCGTATTGTACCATTTATTATGCTTAAAGAAACACATTTTATATTTAATAGGAAATGTCATTTGATATCCTCATTTACTATTTAATCAGATACTCTCTCTCTGAATTCATAGAATATTAACACTTTCTATCTCTAAACCGACATTTTGATTTATTAATTTAAAGACATAATGTTAGTCTTCGGCAGCAGAAACACCACCACCGTCTCTAATGTCTCCACCACTGCCACACCACCTGTGGGGGTCTCTCCTTTTTCTCCCTTTCTCTTTCTATGACGTAACCATAACTAACCCACCGCTCCTACATATCGCAGCCTTTGTAACCATTAGCAAACAACCAAATCCGTACACACAACCGTCTCCACGATCTTCCACTCTCCACCACTCATTGCCGTTATCACCGTTCCTCATCTGCTACCACATCCTTACTGTTGTCGCTACTTTCCTTCGTAACCATCAGCTATGATATTTTGTGTATTCACATTTGTCTAGATCTATTTTTCTAAAGGCATATCTTGTAGAAGAAAAATGTAGTACACATTGTTAGAAACAATAAAACGTGTGTGTTCGTTCATTTTGTTTTGTTAATATTTTTGTTTCTTGTATTTACAAAAAGTGAAATATTTATGTATGTGTTGTTCAGATATGATTTTATTTATTTAGTTCGTTCTGTTTCGTGGCCGTTGGTGACGGGACGAGGAAGAAGAGGTTCTTTGTGTTAGCATCAGAAAAATAACAGTAAATCTGTTCATGGTATCTATGTTTGACTTGTAAATGAAAGTGTTTCTTAACTCAACAAAATTGATTTCAGGTTCTTATTTAATTATAAACATTACATTTTATGATTTGTTGATTAACTTTTGTATTTTATTGGTATTAATGTAGAAGAAGATGGACAATAGATTCTAATCCTATTATTTAAGCTAAAGTAGAAAGTATGATTTTTGAATCTAAATGGTGTTGAATATTTTGAAATGTATTTTATAAACTATTTTTTTACATTGTTTTATTTGTTACGATGAGTTGCCTAAAAATCTTAAATGTTGTATTTTAGTAATATGTTGGATATGGAAATTTTTAAAAATATTTAAATATTAAGAAACAGTTTTAAAAAATATACGTATTAAAATTAAACCTAATATTTATTTTTTTAGTAAGTTTATAGTTTGTACCAACACGACATGTGTTTGAAAAATATAATTTAAAACGTTTAAATACTAGCAAAGTTTATTTGATTCCTAGATATCATTATAATATGATTTTTTTTTCTTTGGTAACTAAAATATGGTGATTTTCAATCTTCCTATGGTATTTTTGAATTTGAGAGAGAAAGTACAAGAATTTAAATTAATGTTTATTGGTTGTGCTTCAAAAGCAAAAGGTGGTGGACACAATTTTACTAGTAAGATTTAACGTATGAGGAATTGCATAGAGAAATGGTCACGCATAATACCGGATGAAGACTACATATATGATATTTTTCGATGGAATTAAAATAAATATTAAAAAAAAGACATTTTGAAAGGGTTACTTTGAATTAATTATCTTGTTACTTTGAATTAATTATCTTTCACTTAAAAAACGATGGATTATTTTTCAAATTTAAAAAATTAAATTAAATTTTAATCTATCGATAGTTATTTATTTGAAAACTAGCAGTCTAATTTTTATGGGAAAATTAAAATTATTTAATTTTACGTATATTGTAGAAATAAATTACCAACAACAGTAATAAAAAAATAAAAATTATAGAAAGTGATTAAGAAAAAATATTAAAAAAAAATGATTTGGATACCTTTTATACAACTCTATGTCGTTTTGTAAAATTTTTAATAATATTTACATATTTCAATCAGATGGTGTGTTTATATTTTAAAATACATATTAATACTGCATTATTTTTTATTTTTCGATTCCTCAAAATTTGATTAATAATTGAATATTTCTTCTTCATAAATCTAATAAAATTATGAAATTAGGAGAATTATGAGACATGTGTATGCATACCACAATAAAGAATAATAATCTGCTTAACTACAACGTTAATGAATGTTTATATAATTTATACAAAAAGCCAGTGGTTATTTACGTAATTTAATAATATGATTAAAATTTATAAAATATGTAATCGTTCAAGCTTTCAAGGATTTTGAAGTAACCATTTGTTGTTTAGTAACAAAATATGAAAAAATATGAACTTTAAACCATAAATGCTAAAACCTAACTCGAAACTCTATAAGGCTATATGGTGTGGTGTTACATTTGTCACTTTATAAGGGTATCGGTGTATCTTTACCCGTCAAACCGAAATTAAACATGAAACACTAGAGTATTCACCTAATGCCTATAAGAAAGTAATCGGCAATGCATACTATGTGGTTCGAAATACCACATGCACTTTTATTATTAATCCAAAACAACAAATCACATATATTTTAAAGAAAAAAAGATATATTTTTATTTTTAATCTAAAACAATAACGTATTCTTATTTTAAATCTAAAAACTATAACTAAATTCATTTTCTACCACAAACAAAAATGTACTTTTCATTTTAACTAAAAATAAGATGTTAAAAAAATTTGGTTTGCCTTAAAATTATTCGATACTGCTGCATCGCGCGGGTATGCTGCTAGTATATATATATATATATATATATATATATATATATATATATATATATATATATATATGATTAAAACCCATTTATAATATGCATTTATCCATCACTCTAAGGTAGCTTGTTTTTCCTTATTGTTTTATGGTTCAATCACTTACTTTTTACATAAAATAAACTATGTAAAATAAAAGGATAAAAAATATAGTATGTATATGCGGGCCATTGATGTACCCTTTAGACGCGAGAGGTATCGGGTAAACAAAGTCGCAATATGAATGAATGGTAGTTCGTTGGACCTGTAGTTTGCTCTCAAATGTGCTCGTTCGAATCCAATTCGTAACAAAAACAAAGTCTTTGATCATAGAATATCTCAGGACCCCTAAAGGTAAATACGGGGGTTTGACAGCTGCACTTTTTTATATGATCCATTGAATGCTTCCTTTGCTCAAAGGAAAGGGAAAATATTATTTTATATATGTCAAGGATAAACACCGCAACAAACTAAAACCATATGAACCATTCTTGTCATGGAAAAAATTAGAAATTGCATTTGAGACCTTTTATAAAGTACAAGGACCATAATCATAAAGAAGGGGAGATGTTATTAGAATTTAATATTTGTTTGGACCTTTTAATTTTATTTTTTAATAACTTTCAGACCGTCTAAAATTTAACTTGTAAGTGGAATATTTTGAATAGCATCGGCTTCTTTAAAACCCTCACTTCTCAAATTCTCTCGATTTCTTTTCTAGTCACTTTCGACAACATTGGAGTTGTTTCTTATTCAACTTCTAAAAGAGGTCCATGTTTATATAATTTTCGACCGAACATAATACTTAGCGACAACAAGCGACGAATTAAAAATACATGTCGTCATGACACACGATTGGAAGAACTTATTGAAGTTGTACGCTCGTTGTGAGAATGTTAATTTTTGTGTTGTGGAATGAGAACGACGGCGATGGTGGTGGTGATCTAGTGTTAATGAGCAAGACAATTTGACTCGTTTATCAATGAAAATGAATCTAAGCACATGCATATCATAGTAAACACTTAACTTTAGAACGAGGGACTGTGAACAATGTTTATCGGCCTAAGTCTGTTGACATGTTATCCTATGCTAGGCAGTTTCTCATAATGAGCATCGAGGTTATTGACCAAGGTATGATTTCTAGTTAAAATATGAGATCGTTTCATAACTAATTGTATAAAATTCTTCTAATAATTGAGATCTATATTTGAATTGGAACTCTCACAAGGTAATCATTTAATTAATCTCATGTAAAGCTTTTCTATGATTTTGGTTTGAGATCATTTAATTAATTGAAGAGATCTGAGATCATTTCGTAATTAACTCTTGAGTTCTTCAAACGATCGAGATATATAATGAATTATAATTTTCATATGAGTTATATATTTAATTAGTCCCATGTAATTTTCACTTCCACGACTTTAGTTTGAGATCATTTATTTAATCGAGATTCATTTACGACCGTGGTTTTTAGTTGAATTTAATACATTTGTAACCTGTTATGATTTCACTTTGAGATCGACAGTTTGTATCAAATTGTAAATGTCAAAGGGTTTCAGTCATTTGAATTTGAATAAATGTAGATTCATTTGTTTACAAATAATTTTTTACTACGAAAAACCTAAGTGACATGGTAACTTTTCGAAATTTTAAGATTCAAATATTATTTTGTATTATTATTATTATCGATTTCATGTTTACTTCCCAAGGTCCAAATGATGTTGTTATCAGTATTGATGGATTAACCGAGTTTCGTACGAAGGATATGCCTTGGATAAACAATGACACCTTGTTAACACCATTTTCGTCCTTTGGTCCTTCAATGGAACATATTTCTCTTTTTTTAATAGCCGATCAGTCGAGTCGAATCGAAATCGAAAGTGTCAATTACTTTATCCGGTTCGAGCTCGAGCTTGAAAATCAAGGCTCGAGTCAAATTTCAAACTTGTGAGTACTCAGTTCAATTACATTGACCATGTATGTAAAAAAAGATAGATAAATAAAAATATATATGTAATTTTATAACCTTATCGTTAAAACCAAAGAAAAATAAAGAGTAAATTAAGGTCCCTATGGTTTGGGGCAATTTGCATGTTTGGTCCCTAACTTATTTTAACTCGGAAACTCCACACTTTTGGTTTTTGTTACGCGTTTGGTTCATGTCTTATATAAAAAAAACTATTATTTGAATAGGGAAAAATAATGGGGTAGGTAAGGTAAGGTGAGAGGGGTGGGGTTGGGGGTGTGTTTAATAAATTAAAAAAATCAAGGGCAAAATAATATTTTTAGGTAAGGCAGGGACCAAGTGCGTAACAAAAACAAACAGTAGGGACCTTCCTAGTTAAAAAAATAAGTTAGGGACCAAACATACAAATTACCCTAAACCATAGATACCATTCGTGTAAGTTACTCAAAAATAGATGTACTCACTTAACTTTTTGGTATATAGTGATTACTGAATATTTAATCAGATTGTATACAGTGCTTTCAATACATCATTGGTGGAACTTTGCCCTCAAAATTACAAAATCTCTAAAGCAATGAAGTTCAAAATAGGTTCACACCCTTTACTTTCCATCATCACCAACACCCCCTTCATTTCCGCTAAGCATCCCATCATACCATAAGCATCCACCAAACAATTAAAAAACACAGTATCAACCGTCACATCCGAACTTTCAATATACCGCAATAACCCCCCGATCTTTTCACAATTAGCTTCACGTATATAGCAGAGTTAGGTCTGTACCAAAGCTGCTCACGAAGTAGTTCAAAAACCTGAAAAAAACATACAGTGCCATGATATTAAATATTAATAACAACAAAGTTATATTGAATTCTGTTGTTTCTTGCTATTGTGCTTAGGAGAATGTTGTTGAAGAAATAATTAAATGATGAGAGATGTTGATAAATTATGTGTGATGATGCCTAATAGGTGTTTGATGAAATGCCTGTTTTTTTCCCTCTTTAACAGTTGGAAATCACAAAATTGAAGGTTGGAAGTTTGTGAAGGAATTTGGTAGATTTTTGAATCACAATGTCTTAATAAGAAAAGTATTGACACTACAATTCTGTAATAGAACAAAAGAAAATTAGGTACAATGATTGGTTTTTTTTATAATTTTTTGGTTTTTTGACATTATGGTTTGTTTGGTTAAACATTTGATGAATTCTTTTTAAGTGTTGTGCTATAATGAAAAGTAAAGAATTAAACATTTGATGTATGTTTTGTGTGTGTATGTGTTATGGTATGGATGTTTTACGAATTATAGGAATGCACTTTATAAGTTCATTATTACAATTGATATGACATTATATGATTTTATTTTTCTGATTTTCATTATTTAAGCAAAGAAACATAAAATTGTCGTTAAACATAAAATGCAAGTATAGCATTGCACTACGTTTGGTATTATTGTTCGAATGTGCGTTTTCATGTGTTTCATGTTGTCGTATTTTGAGTTACTATTTATTTTAATTATGTTTATTTAAAAAAAAAAATTATTGTTAGGCAATCTACTTTCAAATTAGATGGTATAATCAAGTTGAAGTTCATTGCTATTTCAACAAATCATAAAAGAAAACAAATATATAATATGTTGCTATTAAACGACCAAATTAAAGATTCCACTTTCTTTGATATTTTATACATTGTTGTTTTTTTCCCGAATTATTCAAAATTTACCTTTTTGTTTTTGTTTGACAGTTGGTTATATTTTGAATTATCAAATATATAAACTAAATTTCTTTTAAACTCTTATTATAGAAAACAACACTTTCTATTAATCAGATGTTTTAAAATGAATATATAGTAATTTTATATTTCAACAATATACGTTATAAATTTGAATTGGACACTTATTTAGTACTAACTATTTTTGGTTGGATTACATATTGTTGGTTATTCCCATTTTACCCTTGATGTAAAAGTAGATATGCATGCACCCTTATTTAATTCAACCATTTTATTTGACGATTTTACCACATTGAGCTAATGCCACAGTTTCTATAACTATCTAAGTGTATATCTGGTAAAGCTCTTTCAATTTCATATTAACCACCTTTGTTAATTAATTAACTAATACTAAAATTTATTAAAAAAAGTAGTGCATAAAAAATCAGATTTTGTATTTATACCTGCATGATCTGGGTTAAAAAACAATACTAACTATCATCTTATTATATAACTTTTGACACTCACACCTCTTAATAAACTTATCAAAAGGAGGGCAAATTTGGAATTTTACATGTTCCCACTCATTGTCATTGAGTATAGCAATCTACTTTAAAATTGCATTGCTATTTTACAATACAAGTTATTTAAAACAGTTTATATGTGAACAAGACATATGTTATGAGCTAACCATTGTGTATAATCAATAATAAGGTCCAAATTTAAGACTCTATAGTCTTGACATATCTCCCTAACAGAACTTTTGATTACGATAACCTGGCCTAAATTAACACATGTTTAAATTAACAGAAATTACGTCGACCATTCTAATCAACAAAAACGAACTAATAATTCTCTAAAATTGTGAATCTGTGATGTTAAGTTGTTAACCATTTCAATCAATAAAAACGCAGAGAACCATAATATTGAGTATGAATCAAAATCTAAACACATAGAACCTACAACTTTGATATCTAAACGAATTAATAATAGATTGATGGTGTATTAGCTTTTATCAGAACATAACATACCTTCCTTAACAGGGAATCAGCGACGAAGCTGTAAGCTGGAAGAGGAGCTGTTGCAGGTGGAGGCGGCGCTATTGCAGGCGAAGGAGAAGCTGCTGTAGGCGGAGGCGGCGAACGGCGAGGTGTATTCGGACTGTCGGAGGGTGCGTCTCAGACTTACGAGTTACAACAGTGAATATTGAAGAATGAAGATTGAAAAAACGAGTGAGAAACAACCGCTTCCATTCGTGTTTGCGTCTTGCGATTAGGCTTCTTCGTTCACCGTTTGGACGTTACTTTCTCAATTGGGCATTTGGGCTCCATTTAGGCATTTACCAGGTTACAAATTAAGATTGGGCTGGACTCTGGAGTTGTTAAATATTATGGGTTATAATTTTATTATCTAATATCTATATATATAAGAATTAGTATTTAATACAACAAAATATAATTATATATAAAAATAATATATATATATATATATATATATAATATATATATATATATATAAACTCTACAGTCCGGTCCGGTTTTTATACGGTTTGAAATTTTAAAAATTGTAAGCCAAACCATTCACTACGGTTTGAAATTTTCAAAACCGCAAGCCAAACCGTAAAGAAAAATATAAACCGTAAAACCAAACCGATGAACTGTTTGGCCGGTTTCATGGTTTCAAACCGAACCGTGATCACCCCTACCTTCTACTAAGCCATTTCTTCTGCTCCTTTTGCTACCGTACCAATCAATACTATAGAGTTCTTGCATTCTTCAGTCCTGTTTTCCTCTCCTACGACCGATTGAAGGTACAAATTACTTGGCTTCTTATCAAACCATCATTTTTGTGAAGATTGAACTCGATTTGTAGGATGTGTTGCCCTCAACTCCCCAATTTTTTGAGAAATTGTTCAAGATTCTCACACAGATAAACTAACATTCGTTAAAAATGGTTAACGAATGTGAATATTGATTTCCAATTTTACGATTTCTAGGTTTTAATGTGTGCGTGAGAGACAAAGCGCGGAATGATTGACGAACCGATAACAAGTCTTTCTCATTTTAGTAGAAATAAAACTCATCTTTATTCTTTTATCAATTACTTCTCCCTCTTATAAAAAAACATTACATATATGGTCTCTTTAAAAAAATCATTTTCATATATGGTCCATGTTTCACAAAAAAATTATAAAATCATTAAACCTAAAATTTACATGAAATGTCTTTGTTTGACAACTATTTACAAAAAAAAAAAAAAAAGGTTACAAATTTGGTTTTAATTGCATATTATTATTTTTATTTTTGTTCTAAGAATGAATCTGACTTTTTCAATTTAATATCCAAAAAATAAAAATATGATTTAACACCATTTGTGTTACTGCTATATTACCGACACATGTTATTATATTAATTTTTTACTTAAGTTTCATAACTTTCTATTAAAATTTATAAAGGTGAACAAAAGTTAGTATTATTATCTTTTTATTATTTTATTAAGGAATAATGGAATAATATATAAGACAAATTAATAATATAGCCATCCCGACTTATAAATTATTTGTAAATAACAGTTGTACAATTTACATATTCTTTTGAACATCTTCTGATTTGGCTAACATCTTCAAAGACAAGATTCATGCAAAATAATCAGGTAAATGTTTGCTAAAATAAATTTAAATTAATTTATATAAATTTGATTTGTATATTTTCTAATAGATTTGCTAAAAAAATATAAATTAACTGATAAGCTATAACTTAAAACTCATATGGTATTTATTTAACTTTAATTTAAAACTAGATAGGAAACCCCGTTTCGCGGGGGTTTGATTCGCCACTAATGTCAAAAAAACCCGACAGGATCCTCAGTATATTGTTGGTGATTTGATGACCATTGCTAATATTGGTATCGAAATGTAAGTATGTTGCTATTATGGGTAACAAATATAGTTACAAAAAATTGAATTTTAATCAATTGTATAATAATTAAAAGTCTAATCCTAAGTTACAAAAGCAATAATACAATCGGTGATCCTGAAACAACCAATTTACCTCTATTTCCCTTCCTGCCATCATCACCTCCCATCCTAGTTACAGAAAACCCTTCCTATCCTCAAATAACCAATTTACCCGTATTTCCCTTCCTGCCATCATCACCTCCCCTCCTAGTTATTGAAATGACCAACTTCTCTCTCTGCAACTCCATGTTAAAGTAAGACAACCATCTGCCCATAGTACCTGTCAAAAAACTTGTACACCTTATCAAAAAAAAATAAATAAATAAATAAAGTACGTTGCCAATATCAATAAACTAAAATACGTTTATTTCATTTGCCTTTGTACAATGGTTTTCGCTTCTCAGAAAACGCATTCAACCCTTCTAACCTATCATCCGTGACCAATGTCTCTTCATAGCATTCTTCTTCCAATTCCAAACCAGACCCGATCTCCATTTCTGAACCATGGCTAATCACTTTTTTAGCCATCCGTATAGCCACAGGACCCTAATAAAATCATCTTACATCTTACATCATAATATTATATTATAATAAAAACATTTCATATAATATTAATAAACGTACCTTTTGATTTATATCACGTGCAATTTCAAGCGACTTTGAGTAAGCATCACCCGCAGGAGCACAGTAATCCCAAATGAAATTAATCATCAGACTTCTTTTAAATACGTATTGAAATGAAAAAGAAAACTCACATGTGCGCTTCCTCTCGCACCTTTGCATCGCCCCTGAACCCAAACTGATTTGTAATTTTTAATCTGTAATTTGTTCATTGGACCCAGCGAGAAAAGGAAATCGGTGGTGTTGGACGTCGATAAGAAGCCAGAAGCAAACAGAAGGAGGCGTTGGGATATTACAAAGCAATCAAAGGCGGTGGAGACTATGTCGCAGGATCAAAAGGGAGAAAAAATAAGTGAAACGAATCAATGATGGTGATGAGGTTATCGACGACTTGAGGCGGTGATGGATATATCTTGTCCATACCTAATTGGCAGCAGTTGGCATCTAGGAGATTCAGGAATGAATAAAAGGTGTAGAATCTATAGTATACATGGAATGGTTCATGTAAGAACATAACAACTATTGGATATAATGAAAAGATTTATTCAAGATTTGGAGAAATTATTGAAATTTACCAATTAGAGCTAGTGTTCGCCAAGGAATGAAAGTTCTAATAAGCCACGTTACAGATACTCCAATGCATATCATCAGCTATAAATGGTGATATCAATGAAGTTAGGCATTTACAGCTTTTTATTACCCCATAAGGATGAATCTGGAGTAGTGAAAATAGTTACAGCTTTTTTATTACCTGATTAACAGTGGTAAATGCTCCACGAAGGTTTTGAGGTTGTATTTCTGCTATGTAAACTGGTACCTGTTTCTTATTCAAATTTGACACCTTTTTAATGTTACACAGAACAGTATAGAACAAAACATTTCAGAAATTGGTGTAACAGAATGGAGATGATGTTGCAATTACCACATAAGAGAGAACCCCAATTCCATATCCTATCAACAGTCTTCCAACATCCAGCAACCAAGAAAACTTTTTAAGAGTAATTACAAAAGTGATAAGATGAATGAGTACACAGCAATGCAACATAAAAGAAAAAAAATTAAGAAGGAAAGGAATTGCCTTGGAATATAGAATTGCTAGCCACCCCAACAAACAAAACATTTCAGAAAGGCCCATGGTCTGCATATCAGATCAAATTAAACTAATTGCATGGAACTGTGGACCTGTGAATTGAGAGAAACCTAATTAAATGACCTTAAAATCAGATGTTCTTATGTATGTCTCAATAAGGCATTTCATCTAACAGCTGGCCTGCAACCGAGAAGTGGAAAACAAAATCAAAGTAATCAAAATTAGAAACAAATAGAAAGGATTTCCATCTATATGAACAATTGAAAAATAAGAAATGAGGTGTGAACTATTGTAAGAAGATCTGGAGCTTGTAGCACCATTTTCGATTCCTATCCTGTCATCTCTTTTCATTCTTCACCTGTAAATTAGATATAACCATCAATATTTTTTAAAAAACATGAATTCATATATGTACTTGGGCTTTATAAACTTTTGTATTGATGCCCTAACGTATGTGTCTGAAAATTTTACAAATATTAATGAAAATTTAACATACCTATTAACACAATATGACAGATGAACAAACTGAGTGTGTTTTTCAAACGACACTGCTGAAAAAAAACAAAAAATTGGTAAAATAACCAATAAATTATTATAGTCAATATTACAATAAGTAAATTTTGTGGTAAACCTTAAGCAGGTACAACCGATGTCCGTGAAGATAGAAAATCAATGCAACAGCTTGTTAACTGTATCCACGAATGCTTTATGAAGTTCAGGTGTCCAACGCATTCTTGGCTTGTTTCGGGACCCTTTAAAATTGAAAATTTATTAGCAGGGTATAGTTGGGTTTGTTTTTCTTGTAGCAAATCATGACCTTGAATTCCTGAAATTGGTTTTGTAATCGTTTGTTTTTCTTGAAAACAGCCCCAACGAAAATATGAAGGAAACTAACATGAAAATGATTCACAATCGAAAACAACCAAAACCAAAAGATGATACAGTGAGGTCAGTGGGATTTACCTGATCGATCTGTCGTGTATTTTGGCATATGCAAGAGGGCTACCATTTTTTATAAAATTGCAAGATTAGGGTACGGAATATGAAAAATAAACGATCAAAAAGGTAAAAAAAAAAAAAAAAAAAACAAGGAAAGAAGAAGGAGATGGTGTGGTACCAAGAGCTACAATGCCCTACCATCTGTTGTTCAAAATTGAAAGACGGAGTGTGTAGATGAATTGCAGTGAAGGAAACAGAGAGACCGCTCATGGGTGCATAGAGTAGTGGAGTAGGTTGCCGATGAATGACAAAGACGACCTACAAAACGCAGAGCATCCATGGAGAAGCCGAGATAATGACGGTGAGAGAGAGAGAGAGAGAGAGAGAGAGAGAGAGAGAGAGAGAGAGAGAACCGATAAAAGTAGTGAGAATCAGTCTGGGAGAGGAAAATGAAGCTGTGGAAGGAACTGGATGTAGAAGGTCTTGGAATGTAAAGAGAGGAAAACCATAGGCGGTGGCAGCGGTGGTAAAAGAGAAGATGACACGTTTGCTGAATGAACAGTGGTGGTGAAAGAGAAGACAACACGTTTGCCGAATGAACAGTGACGTTAACGACACATGGACTGAACACTAAGCACTGTTATTCTTGCAAGGACCAAATTGCCATTTCAATAAATAGGTGGACCAATTCCGATTTACAACAAATGAAAGGGACCAATTATGCCAACTCCTTAGGAACTTTAATGTTCCTAACTTTTATTTCCTTAATATATATATATATATATATATATATATATATATATATATATATATATATATATATATATATTAATGTCATTTAAATTTTAAAATATCATTTTATATATTATGGTCAAAGAATTTTAGAAGTTAATTTAGTTATATATCATTATAAAATATGAACATTTTTAATTAATTTATACCTAAACAACATCCTAAATATCGTCAAAACATTTTTAATTATTATTTACAATCACACATTATAAAATTAAATACAAATAATATAAATATGTAAATAAATAATTGTTTAAAAAAATGATTCCTCACCATGTTTTAGAACTGACATTTATTTGCTATTTGATCATCATTCAATTCGTGACTTGAAGTTTATTCGAATTACAATTAGACCTTGCAATGGGGCGGGTTTGAAGCGAATCGACCTTGATCCAAACCCTTTTAACAAATTCCAAAATCTGATCCAAACCCACTCCGTAACCCGCAGAGTTTTGAATAATCAAACTCATACCCTTATCCACCGAATCAGCAGATATCCAAACCCGCCCTGTAACCCGTAGGTTTTTTGAATAATCAAACACATTTTACTTAAATCATAAAATCACATTTATTAAATAAAACAAATGTTGATTTAGAAAACACATTATGTACTCGAAGACTTTCGATTGGAATTAAAATCATTATCGTAGTTACTTCCGATTGGTTTTTGACCGTCGATTGCATTAATAGAGAATATGAATTACAAACTTTCTTCCGGTTGATAAATGAATTTATTGATTTATAAATGAAATTGGTGATTACATGATGAAATATAAATGAAATGACATCATGATTCGTGGGAGAAGACCGGAAGTCTAGAAGTTGAGTCCTCGAGTCCTATGTAAAAACAGTTTAGTTTTTGGCCTTTTCTCTTTGGACTTTCGATTGGAATTTAAAGTAAACTTTAGGTAGTATAAACTATAAATGTATAATTATTAAATTTATATGGGGCGGGTTATAAATGGAACGGATCGGTGATGATCCATACCCGACCCTTTTAATAAAAGGGTTAGCGGGTATGGGTCGTTAACGGGCACACAGATCAAAACCTATGCTCCAAACCCGTATAATTGTTAGGGGTTTGGATCGGATCAGGTTCAAAACCCGCTCCATTGCCAAGCCTAATTACAATAGCTACCAATCGTCTGTAACCCTTACTTTTAAATTGTTAATTTTATTTTTAACTTTACAAAATCATAATTTTCTAACATATCTTCAAATACAAATTGTTGATCATATATTCAAACCATTATACTTTTGTGGTTTCAACCAATCATTATATCATTTTGAACTTACTAACAAAACATCTATATTTAGAAATTATTACTTTTCTTTTTTTTATCATGGCTCAATAATTACATTATAATTTAATTAAAATTATTTTTACCTTTCTAATACGTGGTGTCTACGGATTAAAACCTTATATATATATATATATATATATATATATATATATATATATATATATATATATATATATATATATATATAGCTGTTATTTTGCCAAAACTTATAAAAATCATTTTTTTTATACGAACTCCGTTTTCGACATTGTTTATATCAATATGCTCGTCTTGACAACTAATATAACTTTTATTTAATCATTTTAGCTAAAAAAAATAATATATTTTCACTTTTATTCGTATAAGCAAAGGTTTATATTTATTGACTTTTATAAATGAATGAGTGTTACAATTTATTGGTTTATAATAAAATAAAAAAATATAAAATATTGGTTGAACAATAAGAAAAAAATGTTGAATTTATGTTTACTAGATTTTACTTAAAAACTAAAACATATAAAACATATTATTATATATAATATTAAAGCACATTTGGTTTAGGAATAGTCAATTTTATGGTTATAACAAATTAGCCATAGATATCGTCTACTTTCTCTCCTTCGTTCACTATATTTTCTGCTTATTAGAAATTGCCCACAGGTTATTTGAGTTTTGTCTCCTCCGGCCCTTATACTTTCATGCCCTACTGCTGGACTATATTGGAGGTCTTTTTTGCAAATTCTCTGACTTCCATTCGTACGTGTTATGTTCCGGACGTTTTGCCGACAATATTCTCCAATCACTTTTCTTTGTTCACTACCTACCCACGTCCTCCATTTGACCTCAACTTTTGGATGTTTTCACGTCACCCTTGCCTCCGCCTTTCTTCCACCTGCTTCATATCTACCGTTGACTGGTTGTTTATCTTGATTTCTCTTTTTTTTCGTAAGTACTTCGATTTACGGATTAAACTCATACTTTACTTTTTGTATGCTTTTCTTACTTCGCTTTCTGTTCTTCCGAATTGAGAATTATTTTATGTTGCATACCGATAATGCCTAAAGCTTGTAAGCGTACTCTGTTTGAACCTGGGGAATCTTCTACCGGAGGTGTTGTCTCTGGGTCACGTAAATCTCGACGACTTTCTGCTCTTTCTTCCCGTCTTTTGCTTTCCTCACTCCCTTCCTATGATGACTGTGGTAATTGCTCATGTGTTTGCGAATTTTGTGGTGCGTTCTTTTGGTATGCTGAGAGAGTTTTGTCGTTATCCCGTTCTAATCATCCATGTTATACCCGTTGCTGTAAATCAGGCTCCGTGATATTGCCTTATCCTCTTTCTCCACCACCTGCAATAGCTGTTTTGTATGGTGATGCGACTTTCATTCAAAGTATTAGGGCTTATAATAGCATGTTTTCAATGACATCTCTTGCTGCTGTTGTGGACAAAGAGATTAATAAAGGATCTGGTCCTTAGGTTTTTAAGGTTTCCGGGCAAATATCACATTGGATAGGGTCACTGTGTCCTGAAGATGGTAAAGGTCCACGTTTTTTTACAGCTTTACATTGTTGACACCGAACATGAATTGTCAAACATGTTGCATGCTTTTGATGATCCATCAAAACCGCCATTAGATGAACGTGTTATTGCAACCTTGATTCGAGAATTGACACTTCATAATGAATACGTACGCACTTTCAAGACCGCTAAAGAAATTGTTGATGCTGCTCAATTGGATTCGTATGCTGTGCGTCTTTTTAATAATGTACCTGATCGTAGGTATGAACCTCCATTGTCTGGGACACTTGGTTGCATTGTCTGTGGTGATGATTATGCGGCCAACAGGTATGACATCATTGTGTATTCGAAATCTGGACATCCACAGCGGGTTAGTAAGCTCCACCCAAGTTATATGGCATTACAATATCCTTTACTATTTCCATTTGGAGAGGATGGTTGGTCCCCGCGTATGAAATTGTGTAACGAAAGCGGTTCTAATGCAAGAAATCTAACAGTAAATATGTACTATGCTTATCATATTCATGCGCGCTCTAATATTTATTCGTTGGTGCTTAATTCCTGTCGTTTGTTCCAACAATATTTGGTGGATGCTTATACATGTATTGAGCAGAGCTGTCTAGACTATTTTCAAAGTCACCAAGATCAGTTAAGATCAGAATATGTCAGTGGAATTTATGACGCAATTTCTAACAGAGACACGGAGAGTCGATCAGTTGGTAAAAGAGTCCTTTTGCCTCCGTCTTTCACTGGTGGTCTGCGTTACATGTACAGTCACTATCAAGATGCGCTTTCCATTTGTCGGGTGTACGGAAATCCACAATACTTCATCACATTTACATGTAATGTTAATTGGCCCGAAATCAGGCGTTATATGGATTTTCAACATCAATATGATACTCATAGTAGAGCCGACATCATTGCTCGGGTTTTCCGTATGAAGGTGAAATCATTTATCACTTTTTTGAAGGAGGATAAGACTTTCAGAACTGTCATTGCACGTGAGTTTTATTGTTATTCATATTTTATGATAATCTTTTTAACTTTCTCCTTTTTTTTTGCTATATTTAACTAATTTTTTCCTTTTCCAGATTTATATACAATTGAATTTCAGAAGAGAGGTTTACCTCATTGTCATACATTGCTATGGGTGTCCGATTCAGATAAAATTCGAAATCCAACTACCGTTGACAACTTTATAAGTGCTGAACTTCCGAATCCGTGTTCTGAACCTTTACTATATCAGACAGTTACAACTTCTATGATACATGGTCCTTGTGGTTTGTTAAATCTGAAGTCTCCGTGCATGAAAGATGGGCATTGTACAAAGCGGTATCCAAAACCTTTTGTTCATTCCACGACGTTTGACAAACAAGGTTATGCCCATTACAAGAGAAATTCGTCTTCACGTCACACTCTTCGCAGTGGTGTCCAGATAGATAATGGTTTCATTGTTCCATATAACAAAAGACTATGTTGTCGTTTCAATGCACACATAAACATGGAGTACTGTGGATGGAACATGATGATCAAATACCTTTTCAAATACATTTCTAAAGGTGTAGACCGGGTGCGATTTACTCTTCACAAGACTGATTCTAACAAAGAATGTCCGATTGCTGTAGAAACTCCTGTTACTGATGAGATTCGAAGCTTCTTAGACGGCCGGTACATCTGTCCCCACGAAGCGGCATGGCGCATTCTTGACTTCCCGATTCACGAATGTGACCCACCGGTGATGATACTTCCAGTCCACTTAGAAAATATGCAAACTGCATATTTTAAGGAAGATAGTCGTCTGAAGGATGTTGTATGGAATCCCGGGTTCGCAATATCACCGCTTCTTGGTTGGTTCAATCGTAACAAAGATACTGTCGTTCGTGATAATGAAAATCAGAGTAACAGTGAAAATGAAACTGGAGGTTTAGATTTAACCTACATAGATTATCCATCTAAATTTTGGTGGGATAAAACTGCAAAATGGTGGGTGTTGAGGCATCGGAGTATGTCAAAAACCATCGGCAGACTTGTGTTCGTACACCCATCTGCTGGTGAACTGTTTTACCTGCGTCTCCTACTTTGTCATCAAAAAGGTTGTATATCTTACGAGGCTGTTCGCACTATTTCTGACCGTGTGTACCCAAATTATCGAAGTGCATGTCACGCATTGGGTCTGATCGGTGAAGACAAAGAATGGATGACAACATTCACCGAGGCATCACAGTGGGCAACATCTTCACAGTTGCGCTCCCTCTTTTGTCACTTGCTTTTATTTTGTGAGGTGAGCAATCCGCTTGCATTGTGGGAAACCGGTTGGCGAAAAATGAGTGATGACTTACTTTACAACATAAGTGCCAATGTTTCTGTTATACCAATGCACATTACTGACTTTCACTTACAACATCAATTATTATTTGAGTTGGAAAAAATACTTAGATCATGCACACCATCAAAGTCAGTTGCAGACTTCCACTTACCATTACCATCGGAGGCTGTTGTCGCTCTTTTGGAAAATCGGCTACTTTTAGAGGAAACTTGTTATGACAAGGAACTTCTACAAAATCAGCATCAACAAATGTATTATGTCCTTAATTCAGAGCAACTATACATTTATAATGCAGTTGTATGCGCAGATAGGAATAAAAAGCAAACCTTACTCTTCGTTTATGGCCACGGTGGAACTGGAAAAACTTTCCTGTGGACGAACCTGATTTCTTACTTCAGATCAATTGGTAAGATCGTTCTCGCAGTTGCTGCTTCAGGAATAGCATCCTTACTGTTACCTTTGGGTAGAACGGCTCATTCTAGATTTAAGTTACCGATCAATCTTTCGGAAATCTCGACATGTGACATAAAAAAGAGAACATCACTCGCAGACCTACTGAAACAGACTTCTATTATTATATGGGACGAGGCTCCAATGAGCGATAGACGTTGCTTTGAATGTCTCGATCGGTCGTTGAGAGACATTTTTGAGTGCAACACGCACCCGTTTGGTGGCATGTCCATGTTATTAGGAGGTGACTCTCGTTAGACCCTTCCAGTATGCCCAAAAAGCACCAGATCGTAGATCATTGCACTCACTTTACCGAACTCACATTTATGGCCGTGTTTTCAGGTTTGGAAACTTAACCATAACATGCGGTTATCGGACAGCAACAACAATCCTACATCTAAACTCTCAACGTCCGCATTTGCATCATGGTTGCTTGCTATTGGAGATGGACTTTTAGGAAAACCAGATACAGTTGATGTGGTAGATACAAAGTGGATCCAAATACCCGACTCACTTTTGATACCTCCGGGAGAAAATTCTTTGCAAGATTTAATAAACTTTGTATATGGCGACGGAATTCTAACGGACCCTCTCCCATTGACCTATCCGTCAGAGCCATTGTCTGTCCAAAAAACAACACAACAAATGAAATAAATGATCTTATTTTGAAAATGACTCCCGATAACTTCAGAATCTACAAAAGTGTCGATACTTTAGAAACTAATGGTAACCAATCCTCAGAATTAGAAGCCTTCTATCCCCCTGAGTATCTAAACGAATTACACTTTTCAGGAATCCCTCCACACAAACTTTTACTGAAAGTAAACACACCAATCATGCTAATAAGAAACATAAACCAAAGGGAGGGATTATGTAATGGTACACGTCTCACAGTTGTTACCAACAGTAATTGAAGCAACAATTATCACAGGAACCTCCATTGGGAAACGTGTGTATATACCACGCATAAAATTCATACACAAGAATACTGACACACCTTTCACCTTTTTTCGGAAGCAATACCCCATTAAAGTTTGTTACGCCATGACAATAAACAAGAGCCAAGGCCAATCACTAAAAAAAATTGGTGTTTACTTGTCCCAACCTGTTTTCACACATGGTCAACTGTATGTTGCTCTATCTCGAGCCACATCTCCCAATTCCATCAAAGTTCTCATAAAAAATGACACAAACACAACAAATAACTTAACGAAAAACGTTGTTTTCAAAGATTTGTTACACAAAGTAGAAATTTCTGACGTTCACAACAGCCTGACTACACATACGAATTTATGACATTACATTATTTACTTTATAACACATTATTACATAATATGTTAACTATTATCCGATTATTGGATTGCTAGCTTTTGCACCTTACAGTCTAACTCTTTCTTTAACTCTACTCATAGACCCATGTCTGAGGATTCTACAACTATTTCTACATTGGAATATGGATGTTCAGGAGGAGCATTGCAGGTTCGCATTTTACGCACATGGACTCCACAAATTCGATCATATGAAACCTGGTTCCTAGCAGTTGACAAGCATGTAAGTATCTAAGCTTTCTTATAAATGTCCACACTCTTGTATATAATAATATAATTTTTACTGCCTTACATCAAAACAGGGAGATACCATTCAGATTCTGGGACAGAAAAAAGATCAAGGACACATAAAATCCATATTGACTATTTCAAACTGTTACACCATCTCTGACTATGCGTGTGCCGAACCGGACGAATATCAAAATTGTATAGGCAAAGAAATATATATTAGTGTTGGCAATGCCTCCTCAATCTGCCGAATTCCAGATACAAGAATAATACCTACAACTTCGTTTCGCTTTATATCTAAAATCCAAATACCAGACTATGTAAAACAAGATCCAGGTATAAGAATATATACACAACTACAATAATGAATCGCACAAAACAATTTCTATTTACTAATGTAGCAGCTAATCCCGATGTAGATTTCTTAGGTGTGTTTGTCAAATTCAGAGAACTCACGACAAAAAACAAGGAACCTTACACACTTCTCATACTCACAACGGAATCGTAAGTTGTAACTAATTCAACATTTATATTACCTATTACCAACACACTAACAACAAACGAAAAACAGTGACGAAGAAATTGCTATTGGTCTATGGAAAGAATGTACCAATGTAGTGGAAAAATTTGACCGCAACCTTATTGAGGCCACACCTGCTCCAACAGTTCTCGCTGTGACAAATGCAAAGATCATGACAGTTGCAGGTATGGAGGAAACAAGACATAGTAAAATATATACATTCATAAAAATTACTGTCAGAAAGTATTGACGTTTGTTATGTATGTCGCTTACAGGTGCACTAAAAGTAGGAACAACAAGTGCAAGTCATGTGTATATCAACCCATCAATTCCAGAAACAGCTGCCCTACTTGACAGGTATCACAGACAGTTGCTTTGGAACATAATTTACTATATGTACGCACTAAAAAAAACAAAAATTACAGGTTTATGCGAAATTGTACGTCCCGTTCTGCGTGTAAAGGCCCTCCAACACCGTTATATGACATAAACGAAAAACCATATTCAGAACTATTGGTAAGATATACCAACTTACATTTACATACTAAAAATGAACCCAAGAAAATGTTACTTTCAATATCTAATTAACATCCTACAATAGGACAAAACCTTTACTGTAAAAGCATCTGCCGTTAACATCACTTTTACAAACAACTGGTACCAAGTTCTATGCCCCCTATGTAAGACAAGCAGCTTTAAAAAGGGTAACGACTGGTTCTGTACATCAGATGGAATGGTCACAACCCCAATCTTCATGTAAGTTGTCCTCCAAAACATGACTAACACTGGTACAAATTAAATTACAATAACTGCATCTACATGAAAACAGGTACAAACTTTCAACAACGTTGACAGATACCACAGACTCGATAACCACAAACTTATCCAACAACACGGTCGAAAAACTCACTTCGATAACATCTGAAAAAGCTATACAACAATATGGACATACTCATAGAAAAACCTTACCACCCTTCATCCAAAATTGCAAAGGTTTACAAAAAAAAATGGGTATTACAAATGACCAAAAACTCGAGTGCGGGCAACATTCGCTTCACAACAATTGATATCGAGGACGAAACTCCCCTCCAGCAGTCAGCGGTTCCAAATACACCAACACCATACTTTCCAGAATCATCTTCAAAAACCTATGCATCAAAAAGTACAAGAATGCTTTCCTATGACGATGCAGGTAAACACTATCACATGAAACATGCAGGTTAACAACATACTAACATATTTTTACTGACCAACAGATGAAGCTGAACCTAAGCAAGCGTCAAAACGGCAACGCCATCCACACTCATGACTTGACACAAAAACCTTGTAGCAGCCAGTCCACTTTTTGTTAAACTTTGTATAACTTTTGAGCATAAAACCCTTAAACTTATGATATATTGTTTATAAAACCGAATCAGCTGCAACATAAGTAAGACAAACCTTTGCTGACAAAATTCCAAAAAATTTTAAAATGCTATTTTATACTCACTGTTTTGTTATCAAATTTCCACTACTAGATAATCTGCACAAAAACACAAAACTTACAACTTATACCATTTTAAACACTATACGAATTTAATGTTACTATACATGTAGTCAAACTTCCACACCAAAGTTACATATAAAACCTATTAAGTCTTAACCACCTGTAACAAACATAAATAAGAAATGCAAATATATCAAACAAACAAACCCATAGCGCAGCATGTCCATTTTCCTAGTTATTATTAACAAATGGACGGTGGTATGGAATCTATTTCATTAATTAATATATGTGTAAACTACGAAGTAAAAAAACTACATAAATATATTATTAAACATTGTTATTAAAATAACTTTTTTAAAGAGTATAAATAGTTGTAAAAGAATGGATAAATATTTTTGAAAAAAAACTATTTTTAATGAGAAAATATCTTGATTTTTTAAATTGTTTATGTTTGTGCACCTATTTAACTCAAAGATATTTGAATATATTTTTGAAAAAAAACTATATATTTTTAATATTTTTCAACTATAAAAACCTTTTTTAACATAAATGTTTTTTTTATTTTCATAAAAAAAATTACATAGAAAAATAAGGGTTTTTATGTGAATATGTTTTTTTTATATAAATATGATTTTATAAAGCAAAAATAACATATTTGAAACAAAATTTTGAAGAAAATATGTAAAGAAAGTAAATTTAGGATGAATTTGTAACAAATTTTGGAAATATGAACCAAAAGTGTAAATTTCTAAAGTGGATGACATGCTGACTTTGTAAAAAAAGGTCAATAGGAATATAATTATCAGTATTCCGGAGTTTATATATATATATATATATATATATATATGTGAGAGTAAATTACACAAATGGTCCCTATAGTTTGGGTAATTTATACGTTTGGTCCCTAACTTATTTTTTTAACTCGGAAGGTCCCTACAGTTTGATTTTGTTGTGCGTTTAGTCCTTGTCTTACCTAAAAATACTATTTTGTCCTTGATTTCTTAATTTATTTAAATAAGGTGCGATAGGTAAGGTAAGCTAAGGTGAGGTGGAAGTGAGGTTGGAGGTGTGTTTATTTAAATAAATTACCCCAAACCATAGGGACCATTCATGTAATTTACTCATATATATATATATATATATATATATACATATATATATATATATATATATATATATATATATATATATATATATATATATAAAGAGAGAGAGAGAGATTACAAAATATTCTCATTCCTAATGGTTATGCACACAAAGAGTGAAAGTGACCATGTGTTATATAAGGTATGGCACCAAACCTGAATATGTTGTATGGAAAAACAAAGATCATAGAAAATGAACTAACTTGGAAATTATCTACACACAGATAACCATTTCTTGCTATAACAAAGAGAGAAAGAGGTCATGTCTTATATAAGGTATGCCACCAAACCTGAATATGTTGTATGGAAAAACAAAGATCATAGAAAATGAACTAACTTGGAAATTATCTACACCAAGATAACCATTTGTTGCTATAACAGTAGCATAGTTATGATTTAATTCATGAATCCAAAGAAAGCTATCTACCAATTAGGTGTCCAAGTTAAGTTAGTCAGTCATAGTGTACAAATAAGCAAGCCAACTCAATTCTCATCAATAAAATTCAAATAATTGCACTGTATATTATACCCCATTGCTTAGTATACTCCATGCCCATGTGCAACCACCATTATAAACGTTCATAATCTCATGAAAAATGCCCCAATAATATAGAGTTACCAACGCCCCATGTTTGAGAAATTAAAAACGACCCAAGTTTTTGTCACTTTTACGCTTGGTTAGGTTTCAGGCATGCATTCAATCAAAATGCCTCAATACAACACTGTAATTACATAATTACACATTTATTGACCTATAATCTACTAGAGTGAAAAAATTCCAATAGTTCCAATTCTAGGGTTTACACAATATATAACATTTTGTCCAATTCTAGGGTTTCTATGAGAAATACCTGAATTGCGAAGAGCACTACAACAATCTCCAGCTAGGAAACCTTTCCCCTCTCCCCTGAGGTGCTTCTATGATGTAAAATAGATCAATTTCCTTATATGTGGTTGTTATACATTAAACATACATGAATGTTACATATTATGGTTAATGTCATAGTTGGAAAATTACAACCATGATGAATTGGGCATATATAACTAATATATATTAAGCATTGAATCGTAAGGCATAAAATGATATTTTTAATATAGAAGAAATGCATAACATATAAGTGATTTAATAGTTTTCATTGATTCATTCATTCACGTGTTTAATAGTTTCCATAAATTGATTTATGGGCATATAGCAAGAAAATACATTTCTAAATTTGTATACTTCTTGCATACGTGCTGCAAAAGTTATGTTGAAAATAGCATCCATAAATCATGACCGATAATTGTTTGTAGATTTCATTAACACGCACATAATTTAAATGAAAAAAATATGCATATTAAAAAAAATATCAGATTATTGTTATTATATGAAAAAACATAGTTTTTGTAATCATATATAACAGCACATTAAATCCCTCAAAAACTGTTATCGTTTAGAATCCGATTTTCCAACAGAAGAAAGCATAAGCCTCAACTCCTTCACATGGTTACTCATTCCATTTATATTGTAAGCTTTAATCATAGTTCTATACGTAATATTATCACGTTCACACCCTTTACTTTCCATCATCACCAAGACCCCCTTCATTTCCGCTAAACATCCCATCATACCATAAGCATCCACCAAACAATTAAAAAACACAGTATCAACCGTCACATCCGAACTTTCAATATAGCGCAATAGGCCCCCGATCTTTTCTGCTTTGCCATTTTGCGCATAACCTCGTACAAGGGAACACAGTGTAACACAGTTTGGTTTTATACTCTCGGATTGCATCAACCAAAATAAAAATTCCATTTAATTTACATCCCCAACTCTTCCAAATGCATCTATGACTATATTGTAAGTCACTAGAGTCCATGAGAAATGGTATTTTTACTTGTATTCCATCATTGCACTCATCTAGAAGTATTTTCAAGGTTTTGATGTTAGGTTGAATTTCAGCACTTAGAAACTTCTCATAACATTTTTCCATTGTTTCAATTTGACCACTTCCACCGAATGCTCTTAGGGTTGAATTCATGGTCCATACATCAAGCTTACATTTCCTTTGGCGAAGCATTTCCACTAATGTTGATTCCATGTCAGCGAATCTTTTGCAAATTGGAAAACAAAAACATTCATATGTTAGTCCCGTGTAGCCTAAAAAGTAATCTATTTGTTGAAGGATTACCTTTTTGCTTTCCCGTATGCATCAATAAGGGTATTGTAAGTAACTGTATTGGGGTTGACTCCTTGTGAGACCATTTCAGAAAGCAAAGATTGCACTTTATCAAACTCGTGAAAATGAAGGCATGATTTTATGAGGATGGAATATGTGTAGACATCAGGGTGGGAGTTGGGTGTGTTCTTCATCTCTTCTAGAATAGAAAATGCTTTTCTAAATAGGCCACTACGACTGTAGGTAGAGAGAAGAGCAGTGTATGACTCTTGGTTTTGTAACCTCCCAAAAATACAGTCCAAAAATTTCATTTTAAACCATTAAATAAACCATAATTGTTGTTGATAAATAAAATCGTAAGTCGTGATAATCTCAAAAACATCATATCAAAACCAATATCAATGTTTCCAAATCACATATAAAAATATCAGAGTAAAAATCCAATCTAACAGCTGTGGTGTGTGCCATGCGATCATCCCGAGCCCTTCCCTTTGCTAGTGGAAGTACCTGAAACCAAAACTGAAAACCGTAAGCACGAAGCTTAGTGAGCTCCCCAAACTACCACATACAATACACATAACATATAACACAACTTTGGGACTTCGCCCAGCTGCATCGGGACGAACCCGACATCGGCTTACCCCGACATCGGGTCGCGTCTGGAATCGGACCTCGTCCGACATGGGGCTTGTCCCGGCATACATACAAACATATCATATAACATGAACAAATAACATAAACACATAACATAAACATATAAACATTCATCGGGATTGCCCCGACATCGGACCGAAGCCCGGAAAACATAACACGTAACATATAAGCTAACATACATCGGGCTTTCCCCGACATCAGACCGAAGCCCGAAACACATAACACATAACATATAAGCTAACATACATCAGGCTTGCCCCGACATCGAACCGAAGCCTGGAACACATAACACATATCATATAATCTAACATACATTGGGCTTGCCCCGACATCGGACCGAAGCCCGAAACACATAACACATAACATGAAAGAATCACAAAGACATTAAGCATACATAAACGCTTCTCGGGACCGCTACGGCATCGAACCGTAGCACAGAACTACTAACATCTAAACGGGCCGACATTGGTGCCTTAGACCCGTTCCTACTGGAGGAAAACTCACCTCTCAAAGCTAACTGCTAAAATCTCGTGAGAGGAACCTCCCCTTGGTTTATGACTTCCTTTCTAATGAATGTCTGAGATTAAGCACAAGATACCAAATCAACTTTATTAACAACT